ATACGTATACAAATATTTTGAGTCAAACACATTTTTTTGCTATCTATAGTCGTTCACATTAGTCAATTATAATTAGTGTACAAATGGCCGCACATCTTGTTTGCTCTCCAAAGATCCATCCGTCAGCAGCCAGCGTGAATTAAAGTTTAAATTGCGATATGAAAAGACAATCGAGCGCGTACATATGCCAATCTATGGTACATACATGGAAATTGCTTCACGATTCGTTCATACTTATCGGACATATATTGACCAGACATTCACTTCAGACTTTCACAATTGTGCAGAATTCATTGATTCGAGAAATTTATGATAATTTAAACTTTTTTAAAATTCAATTGCACGTCATGATTATGAATCTTGAATCAAGCAATGAAAATATTTCATATTGAAAATTTTAAGATTTTCTTCGGGAAAGTCGGAATTACACAGAGTGTGCAGTGTAATTTGCGCTGTATGCAATGTGAAATTGAAGTAGTCCCATGTGCACAAGTGTATTAAAATGAATAGATACTATTCTTTTTTTAAATACATGATTTTCAAAGTAACGAACTTAAGATTGATTTTAATAGATAAAATTAATAATTGATAAAAATAGATATAAAACTTGCTTTACGACTAGACATTCATGTCTTTAAAGATCAGACAGCACCGCCATAAGCCAAAACTAAACTTTCTTTATTATTTTTAATTCCTTACAGATGGTTTGCAGCGTAGAGCTCATACCTTTCTATCCTTTCAAACCCAATTATATCTATTTTAAGTAAAAACCAATCAAATAACCATTACTTTTTTATAATATATTTTATATTTATATATATGTTAGTAGTTTTATATATTTATTTTAAATCTTCAAGAAATAAGATTCAAAAAATAAAGTAAACATAAAATACAAAAAATAAATAAATATTCTAAACAATATTCAAAGCACCGACAAATAAAATTGGTATTTTTTAGTATGAAACAAGATAAGTTCGGGTTGACTTTTGCGAAGACTCAAGATATTTTCCAAGGATGAGTACGTCACAATTTAGATATATACTATACAATACAATTTTTAAACATAATCAGATATTTATAAATACATATTTATATAAGTATATACATACAGATATATCTTTCGATATATGTTTTATATCACAATTGTTCTAATTATTTTCATAAATTTGATTGTCGCACTATTGTTTCCATTTCCATTGTTTTAGAAGAGAATATATGGCTCATTTGAGATAATAATTTTGGAGCAGGATGTCAACTAGAATTTTCTTATTATCCTTATGAATAATTGGATCGCTGATGTTGAGTTCACATCTTATCAAATTCTGAGCTGTGTTCGGAATTGTATGATGAGGGTGTTGAGACTTGAAATTAATAGATCGTCCAGTATTTGTAAGTTTTTGATACCAATTTATTTCAATATTATTGTTATGTCTATGGTATGGTACATGGTATGGTAATGTACATGGTACATTAGGACGAATGACATCCTCGAGGATCTCATGATAGATCCGACCATGGTACATTAGGACGAATGGCATCCTCGAGGATCTCATGATAGATCCGATCAAAAAATACATAAAGGATAGAGCCATGAAATTATTTACTAAATCTGACAAGGTTACCAACACTGCGTTATCGAAATCTCAGAATGGTTACGCCGAGGTATGCAGATCTGAAGTTGCTTAGTCTGATGAAATGATAAACAATAATCTAGTGAAGGCGTAGGTAATAAAGAGTAAAAGTGCTCAAGTGCACTGACTCCACTAGCGTCAACATAATATAATAATATGTATTTTGTAATGTTATTGAAATATATTTACATTAAAATCTTAAAAATTATAATTAATTTAACATTGATTTTGGTTTTTTAATTTAAAAAGTTAAATAGTTTGTCTCTTATATTTCACAACAATTTTCAGTTGTTAACTCTAACTAGTCAAGTGAATCTAAGTAATAGCTGAACAACTAGCCATCTACCTTTCGTCACACTAAATTGGCTAAATTACAATTGCAGGAAATATTTTTGTTCATATGTTATATGTATGTTCTATTGTAATATGTACATATACATACATATATAATTTACAAGTGTTTTACTCTTTTAGTTATACAACACAACTCCCATATTGTGTGGATATGTACTGGCTGTAACAAATGACAAACAATTTTCTATTATTCCACGGTTTGAAATGATTTTTTTTCTCTATGTGGCAAAAAAAATTGTTTGGTAAAATAAAATGATACTTTTTCAGTAGACAACGAAAACTGTTCAGAAATGAAATTATTTTTTGTTTAAATTGTATTTTAAATTGTGCACGTTCATGCCATATAAAATCGTTACAAATGAATTTTTCTACAACCAAGTAAAATCTGAAGCAAACGAGGAAACAATGCCTCCAGAGTTGGCAGCCAAATGACTGCCAATCAATGGTTGTAGTTTCAAACAATAATACGGGTAGTAACTGCTGAGGTGTGTCTGGATTTAATGGACTTTGTTTTATAAATGTGTAACTATACCAGTATATATACTACTATATATACAATGGCTGCTGGCATATATTGCCTAAATGTGTTATATTAATAAAAATTATATGAATAAATAATAAATTGTAATTGAACTATAAAATAAAGTATTCATATATATATGTATATATATATATATTTATATATGATTTTTTATATGTGTATATCTGTTCACATATTTGTCTGCACTCGTATGTTGCCAAAGTATAACAAAATTGCAACACAAACTATTGACATATTTTCAACATAGAAATTGAAAGATAAATATTTGCATATCACTCAATGACTGCTCTCCAGACTATCTGCTACATTTTGCAATTTATCTATTTTTATTATTTATTCATTTTTGCTAGCATGAATCTTTGTGTTAGTTTATAGTACATACTTTAATGCTCAACTGTTCAACTATTCGCTTGTATTTGGTGTCAAATGTTAAGTAATCTGCACTTTGTCAAAGTCAACAATTCATCATATCTGCAGATATCCCAGTTCGCCTCTTGCCATATTAACATTGTAAGCTCGTTAAATGTATTTTAATTTCTTTATGCCAATTGTCAATCAAAATGTCAGCAAAAACATTTCAATTTAAAAATCATTATACAAATATGCATAAATGTAACTCAAATACAAACGATCTCATATAAATGTTTATGTTATTTATTTACACTACACTTGCCCCTTGGGGGTTAACAAAGTATCGTTTTTGCATAAAATGTTAAGTATTTCAATTATTTGCAAAAGCTGCCTTTGTAATTTATTTGAAGACTTTTTTATTTATTGTTTCAGAAATCATTTTCATTTATTTTTGGCATTTAATTAGGATTTCAAGTTCATTTTCTCCGTGTATTGACAGTTTGATTAGGATTTTTCTAATTGAGTAATCTGACAATTAATGGCTTGGCCTAAAGAATATTAATTATTTACGTTAAGCAGTCTCGTATTGTTGAAAAATTTTCCCAAAATTACACTTTTTTCCCAAAAAAATTTTAAAGAAAATTTATTACAAATAAGAAGATGAATTGATTTAAGCTTTGGAAATAAGAAAAATCTTTCGCATATAAATTTTTTTTACTAATTAATCTTAAAAGAAAAAATTAATAATTTATTTATATTAATCAATAATTGCAGAATAGATTTTATGTATCATTATAGGAATAAACAGGATACCAGTTCCCAACGAAGCGGAGCACTGCAACAATGATTGATCTTTTGTGCTGCAATGTATTATTATAGCTTATAGTTATATATTAAGTAAAAAATCTACAACTCGTAATAATTGATGAGGAAACTGTGATTGGAAGGCATATCCTTCAAATATCTTGAGTTAAGATTCTTAACACACTATTAAATTTGATAAGGCATACCATTCAGAAGATTAATAAAATATTTCAAAAGTTGAGCTTTGGAAATATCATCTATCATGAGATCCTCGAGGATGTCATTCGTCTTAATGTGCCATAGTACATTACCATACCATGTACCATACCATAGACATAACAATAATCTTAAAATAAATTGGTATCAAAAACCTACAAATACTGGACGATCTATTAATTTCAACTCTCAACATCCTCATCATACAATTCAGAACATAGCTCTGAATTTGATAAGACGTGTACTCAACATCAGCGATTAATAAAATATTTCAAAAGTTGAGCTTTGGAAATATAAAAACCCATGATGTTGAATCGAATACAAATTATTTTTTTTTATCAACGCATTTAATGGCAAATATGTCGCCTCAAATCAAATAACAATTTTTATTACGTATTTTCATTAATTAGAACTTAAAACAATAGATCTCAGGCATACTTTGGCCTTCCAATGATAATAACGCTGTGCGATAAAAATAATCTACTTTTTCTCTTTTTTCATTTTTCAACGATTTTAGGTTAATTTGGGTCTGCTGTACTTAAATTTGCAACCCATTTTTCAACCCATTTTGGGTTTTAGGCAATAACCGGTAAGAAGTTTAAGACTTTTAATTTTTAAAGGTTAATGAAAAATATTTAGTTTAAGAGTTGCTAAATTCAAGTTTTTAGCAAACTTCCTATGAATGAATAGATAAATATTTTTGCCTTAGACAATTTTCATCAAGCTGCTTGAAACGTGTATTGAACTTTGATTAATCCATTGATAAAATACATGAAATAAAGTAAAAACTCTTTCTATTTCTAGTTAGGTAAAATGATAGACTTAACGTTTTATCTTAGGTTCACATGAAAAGTATAAAAGTCGAGTATGCTCCTATTTTATTATGGATTCTTACTAATTAAATTAAGTGATTAAATATGATTTATATAAAACTCAATTATTATTATGTGTTTATGAGGCCATTTTTAACAATGCAAATATTTAAGAATAGATTTTTTTCAGATTTTATACATAATAATAATAATTTCATAATAATAATATTTTATATACAAATAGTTTTAAGAAATTCTTAATATTATTGTGGGTCATAAATATGTACATACCTTTTATTCCTTAGTTTTCCCACTACTCTCCTTTTTTAAATTGTATTTAACAATTTGTGCTTAACCAAATCAGTTTAAAAAAACACGTTCTTACAATCAAAATTGTTTGCTTTACTGCACCTTTTCAGCCAGAATAGCTGTAAAAAATAAATATTTAAGAAAATAATTCACACAAGTATACTATATATATAAATTTTTATTCCGTAAAAAATAAAGCAAATATAAAAAATATTAAAGGAATAATCGAAAGTGGAAAAAATCTGTTAAAAACAATTCTAGCACATACATCCAACACTTCCTCTTCTTATTATTATTTAGCGCATACAAAACGAAAACCACTAAAATTTAAGCATTTGCTCCTTTGCCCTTTCACTAAAAACAAAACTCGAATATATACTTATTCGTAGCTATTGAAAAAGAAAGGATAAATATAAAAAGCAACCAACATGCTATGTGGAAGATTCTTTTTAGCCCTGAAATGGTTTGTTACCAAGGCGCCAAAACCGTTTAACCAAAAATACCAAAGAAGAGAAACTCACAGTTGAAGCAGCTGCTTTTCCGCAGTGTTAAATTTAGCCTGCATTTAAATAAATAAAATTTACTATGGCATATTTGTTTTAAATCTTGCATGCTACGTGCAAACCACCGATATGCATAGTTCATGAAACAGGAATAGGGAGCGAGAGAGAAAGATCATAGTTCATGAAACAGGAATAGGGAAAGAGAGAGAAAGATCTACTAAAAAACAAATAAAAATATTAGCTTTATTTTTACCAATAATCTTGGCTAACCTATACACAGAATCTTTAATCTTCATTAAGGTCTTACTTACATGATAATGATATATAATAATAATACATGATATATAATAACATATATAAAGTATAATATATATATAATAATGCTAATAACAGCTGTTTTACATTTTTTGTTCACCAATTATGTATTTCCATAGCTATTTAAGTTAAAAGAGCTTTTGTTGTGAATAGTTGTACATATAATACAGCACAAGATAAATCTGAAATATCAGTTTGTAAGACAACTATATCCATTCCTGCACCGATTGACGCTATTTTTACCATAAATATTCTCTTCTATAGCAAATACTTCGATATTGAATTATAAACAAATGCATTAAAAAATGAAAAAGGTTAGAGGGGTTCGAACAGTAAATGAAAAAGCAACAACAACAATTTGATTAATTTATTAAAATTTGGCATACCATACAACTGTGTATCAAGTATTGTATGGTCAGCCAAACTTCCTAATTCTCCAATTTATTTGCGAGCTATATTTAAATCTCAATCGATTAACCACATATAAGACATATTGTAGGTTGCATTCTATAAAATATACTTAAGTTTTTAAGGGTCTACGAGGTTTTCTGCAATGCATTGCAAAAATCTAGACAAACCTAATGAACGCTTTCTTGCGTAAAGTTTATAAAAGAAATTATATCAATAAAATCATCCTATAACTTTCACACAAATATCACAACTTTTTAGTTTCAATAATGAGTATCATTATTTTGAGATTAAAATTTTGAATAATTAATATATTTGAGGTAGTAGCGAACCGGCATAATAATACAATGTAAGGATCGTTTTCTGGTTTAGGAAACATTATTACTTCGACTACTTTTCAGGCTTGTTATGCATTATGACTGAATTGCTGAATTATAGAGGTTAGTTAACTTTAGTAGGCTGGGAGCATCAAGAAAACTGGATCATAAATTTTGCCTTTGGTCAAAAACACTACTTCATTTATCTTAACTATTACTGCCTATTAACACGTTTTTTGTTACTGGATACTATTTTTAGAGAAGGTAATATTAAAATTACATTACATTACGTATTCATCAATAAAATTTTAAGTTGACCGGTTATAGTTTCCACATGCCGTCTTTTTAAACACTTAATATTATTCCAAAATAAGATTTTCCATTTTTATAGTAATGAATCGGTTTTGTAAATACCTTAAAGTGCACTAGCAAAATTTGTATCTTAATATATTTGAAAGTAAAATATTTGCTAAGTGCCCAAATGAGAAAAATAACTTATTTAAAGCTTTTTTTCTGCGATTAACAAGTATTATATAGTATATATAGTAATAGTATTTCATAGATACGTTAAGTTGCGCAGAATGTATTTTTAAGTTTTCTGCACGCAATAGTAAAGTATTAAATTTATTTTCTTTATTTTTCAATGAGTTCAATTTTAGTTTTAGTTATTTTTCAATGAGTTTAATTTTAGTTAGTATTAATTATTAGTATTTGAGTCGCTATAAACATAAAAGTTATAGCAAAGCAGTTCAGCTGTATACTATATATACATTATCCAATAAATAAGTACATGAAAAAATATAATAATGAAGAAAGATTTTATTAGATTCATGATATTTATCAGTTTATTTGACACCTATAGAGAACTATTTTGTTGTTGTTTAAAGTCGTGCAAAATTTCGTTTTTATTTATTTACTTGAATGACATGTGACATAAGTTTTGAATCATTTTCTTTGAGAAAAATTACGAATTCTAAGCCTGGCACTTGCAGTCCAAACAAATTATATACAAATTATATATATACAAATTATATATATATAAATAATATACAAATTATATATATACAAATGATATACAAATTATATATATAATTAACGTATCTATATACTATTAACTAATTAAAAAGAAATTCAAATATTTCCTAGTTCTTCCACTGATAAGGAGTACTTGGCAATACTCGAAACAGCGTTGTATGATCAGCCTAATTTTAATAAATTAACTAAAATTTTTATCTTTGTCTTTTCTTTGCTATTTGAATCCGTCAAACTTTTAAATAGTTTCTTTTCGTCATAAAGACGCGTCACTCTCGGCAAAAAAAATTAACATTAGAAAATTTATAGTTAAAGCAATAATATATTCTGTTCAACCAACTCATAACATACCATAATTTGTCGTATAATTGGGCATAAGAAATAATAAGATGAGTGTCGTTTCTTTGATTAGTGACATTAAAGAACCATTAAGTAACAAAACAAATGAAAGTAAATTGGAATAAAATTTATAAATAAATATATAAAATATAAATATAATTTACAAAATTTAAAAATAAATTCTATCAATATCAATTTATAGAATATAAATAGAATTTTATTGTATATTGAACACAATACTAGACTACACAGATCTGTAATAATTTATTTACAGAACTCAAGATCAAACCACGCTGTTGTATATCATTTAGGTGTTTAAGATTCATACACTATATTATTAGTTGAGATTTTTGAAGTTCAATATTACAATCTATACATATTATTATTTAATAGTGCATTATTTAATATATTTAATAATCAAGTATTTTTCTTACTTAAATAATTCTGTTTGAACTCAGGATATTACCTTCTTTTCGTTAAATATTTTTTTTTTTTTGGTTTCCTCCCATCTTTATGTAACGATATTAAATTATATATTATGATAAAAAGTAATCTAAAACTAAACTGTAATGTTTTAATATGGCTTAGTCTAACAGGATAACTAGAATCCTTAATAAACTGTTAATCTAAGACACGAAGATGGTTTATTTTAGGAGAAAAATGTTTTAAACTAGTTTAAAAAAATGAACTCTAGTGCGATTATATTTCTTCAAAGCCTTAAACCTCTGTCCGACACCCGATACTAGCCATACCTTTCTCGCTAATTAACTAAAAATATGAAAATGATCTTAAATTAAATTTTTAAAATTTTATTAAAAACGCATAAATCATGTCGAAAAACCTTCTTAAAGGAAATTTTATAAGAGCATATAAAAATATATTGTTAAGATGTGATCTATTCTATCTGGGTTTCTCTATATTTGCAATAAATTTATTTATTCAGATTTTCTTTTATGTACATTTAACATTAATTCATTTGTCAATTTTACAACAGAACGGCTAACCAAATAACGGACCAGACCAATGGATCAGTATACATGGTCATACAAACTGCTAGTGAAGAAGTTTATGGATTCCATCAAAATAACGTAAAACACAATTTTTTCATATTCGCGATTAAACCCATCGATCACATCGTTACCATCGTTGCTCCAATACTGGTTTTGCAATCGAATTGCTTTATGACATAAAAGTCGACCCTACACCTAATATAATGGTCACCGAAATAAGAAGCTGCAGATTTTATTTACCAAAACTTCGTTTTTTCTTTTTGCAATTGTTAGATGCAGTAAGTTTAATACAATTGCCATATGAGTGAGAAGAATGCAATATTTAAAAATATTATTTTCGAAGAATAATTGACAGTATAGTAATGATGTATACATCGTTAGACGATTGAAGTGTTACCAACTACACACAGGTATATCAGTCAGTCTAAGTTTTATAGAAGAAAAGTTTTTCAAAATGGAATTCAAACGTAATAGTTTGATTGCGTTATATTTGGTTGGAAAATCACAACCAGCATTGTTTGTGAGCTTAAACATCACAAATGGTTCGGAAAGTGAAGGCTTTACTTGAGAAAAATCTACGTCGTAATCGTGGTAATCAAATAGCCAAAAACTAAAAATATCCCAGCGAAGCATCCGACGCATATTCCAAAATGAGCTCAAGTTCAGCTCGGCCTAACAAGTGTCCTCTGATAAGAAAAATTTCCCCACAAACTCTCAAAATAAAGGTGTTTACTTAACTTACCGCACTGTCGAAAATTTCAGACTACAAATGGCCACCCGAAGTAATTTTCCATCTCAAGTAATGGTGTGGCCATTTGTGACCGCAGATGGACGCTCTCCAATCAATGCAAATTATTATCGGGAAAATGTTTTGAAAGATGCTTCAGAGACGTGGACACGTAAACATTTCGGTTGTAGATCGTGGATGTTCCAGCAAGACTCGTCACCATCTCATAAAGCTCGTGTAAACCAAGAATGGTTCAAAAATCAGGTTCCACACTTCATTTTATCCACACAATGGGTTTCGAGTTCGCCAGATGCAAGTCCGATGAATTGTTTTATCTGGTTCATTTTCGAGAGCAAGGTGAGAACAAAAAAATATGCCAGTTTGGATGCGCTGAAGAAAGTCATTGTTCAGGAATGATCCAAAATACCGGGAAATCACATTCATGAAGCATGCAACTAATTTTTTAAC